CGCCGGGTGCATGTGCGTGTGTGCCCAAGATCCCGAGAGGAGAATGGAGGAGAAGGGATTGCGGTGTGACCATCCCCCCGGGGGGGCGATTTCTCGCTTTCTGTCTCTCTGTCTCTCTCTGTCTGTCTGGCGAGCGCACGCGCCCTACACCAAAAACCTCTCCAAAAAAAAGAAAACCTAGCCCAGATAAGACTCTTAGTCTATTTTCTGCTACTATATAAAAAATTAAAATAAATAAATAAGCAATCCATAGCCTGGGTAATTTATAAAGAACAGTTTTTTTCTTGTTTTTTTTTTTGGAGAGGTTTTTTCGCTATAGGGCGCGTGCACTTGCCAGACAGACAGAGAGAAACATAGAGACAGAAAGTGAGAAATCATCCCCCAGGGGGGATGGTCACACCGCAATCCCTTCTCCTCCATTCTCCTCTCGGGATCTTGGGCACACACGCACACATGCCTGGAGTTAGTTCTGAGACACCGGGTCCGGGATGCGAACCGTGGTTGACTACGTGGGAGTCCAGCGACATAGCCATTACACTAACTGCTGGTTCCCTATAAAGAACAGTTCAATGTCAAGCACATGTGTGTAGATGCCCAAAATCCTGAGAAGGGAGGAGAAGGAATTCCAGCATGGCCATTTCCCACGAGGGCTTTCTCATTTTCTCTTTGTCTCCAGCGAGTGCATGTGCCCTATAGCAAAAAACAAAACAAAACAAAACAAAACAAGGCAACAGGAGTTTGTCTGGTTCATGGTTCTGGGGGATTTGAAGCCCAAGAGCATGGTGCCAGCATCTTCTGAGCAGAAGGCCTCACATGGCAAAACAGGGCGAGGGGGACAGAAGTAGGTCCAAACTCCCAAGATAGTGACAACAGCATTAATGATCATGAGGACAGAGCCCTCAAGGCCTAATCACTTCTTACTGCTTGCACCTCTTAGTTTGGTCAATGACAATCAACAATCTCAGCATGAGTTTCAGAGGGGTTATTCAAGCCATAGAGACCTAAGATCCACAGGTGAGACATTAGAAGGAACAACCTCGTCTTCCACAACTCTCCCCTCACAGAGCATAAAACCCAGCACATCAGCCAAATGTTTGGAAATTCAATAGCATAGTTTAAAATACCTGTATCAGAAAAAGAAATCCCAAGGGAAGTTACAAAATATTTCAAACTGCAAGATAGTGAAATACAATATATCAAAATTGGAGGGATCCGGGTAAAGCAGTACTTATAGGGAATTTAATAGCTTTCAATGACTATAAAAGAAAAGAATGGTCATATTGGAAATGGTTATATTGAGAATCTAGGAAAACATTGGACCAGCAGTTGGCGTGATGGCTATGTCACTGGACTCCCATATTGTCGACTGCAGTTGGAGTCCCAGACCCAGTGGCTTAAACTCACACTGGGCGCATGTGCGTGTGTGCCCAGGATCCCGAGAGGAGAATGGAGGAGAAGGGATTGCAACGTGGACATCTCCCCTTGGGGGTGATTTCTCGCTTTCTGTCTCTCTGTCTGTCTTTCTGGCGAGCGCATGCGCCCTACAGCAAAAACCTCTCCAAAAAAAAAAAAAAATGTTTCTCTTGAACTCTCTCCCAACCCACCCCCAGGCAGTTCCCAGTATCTAGCATAATGATTGCTGTTAAAATTACGGAACATTTCAAGAACTTGCGTGTCATCCTCGTGCAGGGCCACGCTATGTTCTCCGTATCACTCCCATGTTAGTATATGTACTGCCCAAGCAAGCACGGTCTGTGTCTACTCTAAAGCTTGAGTTTGTAGTTTTGCTTTTTGGGTTTGTTGTTTGTCTTGTGTATAAGTCAGAGCGTGTGTACATGTGCCAGAGAGATAGAGGGGGAGGGGGAAAGCAGTCAGCAGCGAGGCGTGGCCACGCTGCAGCCCCTCTCCATCTCCCCACCCTCTCAGGACTTGGGCACGCACACATGCGTCCAGTGTGTCTTGCAAGATATCAGGTCCATGCCTTAAACTGAGTGATGGGCCATGAGACTGGCCCTCGAGTTTGTAATAAAACAAAACAAAAACTAAAACTAAAGGAAAGAGCGTAACACTTCACATAAAGAAAATACCAGGCCCAGATAAGTTCACCAACAAATGCTAGCAAACCTTTAGGGAAGAAACAAATGTCTAGGAAATAGAAGAGAAGGATATGCTTTCTGGCTCACATATTTTTAAATTTTTGTTTAAAATTGTTTGTTTGTTTGTTTGTTTTGCAACACAGCGCATGTACTTGCCAGACAGAGAGAGGCAGTGAGAGGGAAAGTGAGAAGTCTCCCTCAGGGGGATCGGCCATGCTGCAATCCCTTCTCCTCCATTCTCCTCTTGGGATTTTTGGGCACGCACACACACCTGGCTTGATGTTCAGATTGCCAGGTCCAGGACTCAAACCATAGTTGGCCGTATGGGAGTCCAGTGCCTTAACCACCACACCACCATGGCCCGCATAACACTGATCAACACCTGACAAAGAAGTTGAAGGGAAGACTACAGACTCATATTCCTCATGAACATAGTCTCCAAAACCTTCTCACAATACTTGCAAATTGAATTCTGCAATACCTAAAAAAAAGGGCAATGCCAATCCCAGGAAGCAAGGTTGATTTAATGCTTTATACTCAGTATAATCTACCACATTAGCAGAAATGAAAGAGACAAATAATATGACTCTCTCAATAGACGCAGGAAAAGCGTGAGTCGAGAGCTCAGAGGTAGACGCACATCTACATGGTCGGTTGTTTTTTGACAGAGGTGCTGATGTCATTTAATGGGAAAGGTACGGTGTTAGTCATGGTTCACCAGGAAAACAGAGCCAGTAGGAGATGTTTGCTTCTTTGTTATAGGAAATTGCTGCTCAGGATTAAAAGTCCCAAGATGAGTCGTTGTCTAGCTGCAACTGAGGAGAGCCAATGACATAGTTCCACCGCAAATACTGGCAGACTCCGGATCCAGAAGACCTGATGTTTTGGTTCAAATCTGAAGGCACGAGGAGCTCCCTCTTGCTTAGCCCTCTCACCCTAGTCAGGCCTTCGACTGACTGGATAAGGCCCACCACAGAAGAGAGTGCCATCTGCTTTGTTCAGTTGTAGAAGCAGAAAAATATTTTCCTTCTCTTCTCTCAGGTTTTCTAGCTGGGGTGCTACAAATTAGACTGACAAAAGACAAGCTGACAAGAGAAAAACAGAATTTTTTTTTTAATGGCTAGTGTGAGTTATGCTTGCCAAAGAGAGAGGGAGAATACCCCAGTGGGGCCTGGTCATGCCACAGGCCTTTTTCTTCCACTTTTCCTTCCTATCAAGATTTTGGGCACACGAGTACACATGCCTGGTATGGTTTTCAAGCCGCTGGGGCTGGGTTTCCAACCACAGTCGGCCATATGGGATCTGGCTCCCTTAACTGCTGAGCTACCAGCCTGGCCCAACAAGCAGATCTCTTACCGTGTGCAGTACCCATGTGCGTGGCAGGAACCGCTGATGAGAAACTTAAGAGCGCTTAGAGCTTGGGGTGTATGTGTCTAACAAAAGAAGAATGAACGTGTAGCGGGGCCGGGCAGTGGGGTGCAGGGACACGACTGATCCCATACAGGAAGGGGCTGGGCTTCTGTCCGGGACCTCCCTGAATATGCTGGATTCCTGTACGTGCCCGTCACCTGGGCCGTCTGGGGCAGGGGAGGCAGGATGGCATGAGCACGCTGATGAAGCCTTTCTCTCTTTCATGGAAAAAAGAAAGTTTTAAACATTTGTAGAGGGCCAGCCCCGCAGCACAGAGAGCTGGATCCCGCGTGACCAACCACGTTTCAAGTCCTGGCCCCATCAGCTTGAAACACACATGTGTGTGCATGCCCCAAGTTCTAATGGAACAGAGACGTGGAGGAAAAGGGGGTGCAGTGTGACCACACCCTATCAGGGACGCTTCTCCCTCATCCCCTCCCCGTGAGTCCACGTGTCCTCTGGCAATTAAAAACAAAAACAAACAAAAAAAAAATAGAGAAAACTGAGAAGGCAAAGGAAAGGGACTTAGGCTTTCAGGGGTAGCAGACTGTGGGAAGACACGTCGGGGGACTGAAGAAAGGCACGGGTTGTTTCAGCAGGCTGAGTGGACGCCTCTTCCCTGGCCTGGGAAGGAGCTAGAGCTGCCTCTGGTGACTCCCCTTGCCCTTGCTAGTAGAGAGGGGAGGGCAGGCTTTGTGTTCTTTCTTTTTTGGGGGGTAGGGTGGTCTAGTCTGTTTGAACGTCCTTCTGTTCGATATAACCCCTATGGCAGAGTGGTATATTTTGAGATTGTGCACTCTGAACACTTTCATAGTCTGCCAATGCGAATGTTAATCTCACCCAGAAACACCGTCTCAGACACACCCAGAATAATGTTTGACCAAATGTCTGGCCACCTAGTAGGAAAAATGAAACACCACAGGTATAGCAGCGATAGCCCCAAAGAAATCTACAAACAAACCTTACTCACTGACCCTTGTCATCCACGTAGTTCTCTTCTCACCATTTATCACGTTAGAGACTCATTCTTTTTGTCTTGTTGCTTCTCTAAAAATGCCTTGTTCTGAGGACCAGCAGGTGGCATGGTGGTTAAGGTGCTGGACACTCCCACATGGCCGACCACGGTTCGAGTCCTGGGCCTGGTGGTTTGCTTTCGCACTTTCCTCTCTCTCTCTCAATCTGTGTGTGTGTGTGTGTGTGTGTGTGTGTGTGTGTGTCTTTCTCTGGTCAAATTAAAATGAAGGAATAAATAGATAAATAAATAAATCTTTAAAAAAATAGATAAATAAAAATGTCTTGTTCTTGATGACAGCAGGTGATGTGGTTGATAGAGCTCTGGACTCCGACTTGTCCAACTGCAGTTCAAGGTCCGGACCTGGTGGCTTCCTCTCTCTCTCTCTTTGGTCGAATTTAAAATAATAATAATAAAAATAAATCAAATTATATAAATAATTTTGTAAAAGGGATGCATCTTCCCTTTGCTAAGAGTCTTGTAAGCCCAAGTTCTAACCAACCATGTGAGTTACTCATCTCTGAGTGCTCCCACGTAGAAGTGGGATCCAGACACTAATAACCTTCTGTTGATTTTTCTCTCTCATTAATCTGCCTTTTAGTCTAATTTGCAGGTCCTAGCACATGGTTCTAAGCTTTGATTTTTTTAATTATTAATTTAATTTAATTTAATATTTATTCATTTATTTTAATTTCATCAGAGAGACACAAGGGGGGCGGGGGAGTGAGAAAGCAAGCCACCAGATCCGGGACTTGAACCATGGTTGGCTATGTGGGAGTGTCTAGCACCTTAGCCACCATGCCACCTGCTGGTGAGCAAAGGAGAGACAAGCTCCCCCAACAGGATTCTGACACCACAACCTGACCCCTGCTGCCAGTCAGCTCAAACTCATTGGCTCACACGTGCCTGGCATACTCAGGGAGGTCTTCGGACTTGAACCAGGAGCCTTCCCACGTGGGACTGTGTTTCACTGCTGTGCCAGCACCAGCCAGTGACTCTGAGATGGGTAGACGGCTTAACCTTCCTCCTCCCGTACGGATTCTGAGCTTTCACTAGTATCTCTTACCATCCCCATCTGGTGCCTGTTCATGCACACACATGTGTGTTTTAGACAGAGTTTTGCGCTATTGAGAGCCTCCTGCCTCAGCCTCCAGAGTAGCTGGGACTCTGGGTGCTCACCACTCCACCTGGCTTTTCAGGGTGGGCTGGGAGTCAAACCCAGACCTTCCATGTGGCCTCAGCTTGCAAAAACGGGAGGGTCCACTGTGCACAGCTGCAGCTGGGCCGTGATGCATGTCTTTACTTTGTTTCCCTGGGCAAGCCTCTCATCTCTGTGCCAGTGTTTTCTCACCTGTGAAATGGAAATGTCAAGATCACCCACTGTACAGGATCACTATGAGGCATATAAAAATAAGTCACCTGCTGGGGTCAGCAGGTGGCACCGTGTTTAAGGCACTGGACTCCCATGTAGTCAACTACAGTTTGAGTCCCAGACCCAGTGGCTTGAAAACACGCTGGGTGCGTGTGCATGCGTGCCCAAAATCCTGAGAGGAGAATGGAGGAGAAGAGATTGTGTTGTGATCATCCCCTTGGGGGGTGATTTCTTGCTTTCTGTCTCTCTGTCTTTCTCTGTCTCTCCGAGTGCATGCTCCTTATAGCAAAAATCTCTCAATAAATAAATAAATGAGTTGCATGCCAAGGATCATACACTCACTTGATGCATTCAGTAACAAAGTGTTGAGCGTGGCTGTGTATGAGGTGTCTGGAATTTTAGGTGCAGCCCTGCTACCAGGAACCTGGCAGGGTCCCGTCCTGCTCAGTGTGGCGCAGGGCCTGCCCGGCGCTGTGCTTTTGGTGCACTCTTGGCATTCAGAGTCTTACCAGTAGTTATGCCTTTCCTCAGAAGGTCTACGTGTGGGAATGTAGCCTGAAAATATACTCCTAAGTGCAGAAGTGCTGCGATGTGTCTGGTCTCTGACTCAGAAATCGGTTTGCACACACACGAGACATATTTGGAAAGGAGCTGCTCACTAAGGCAAGGTGCAGTGAGGGTTCGTGGCCGGGCTGGGCCAGGTCTGTGTTTCAGGTGGAAGTTTATGTTTGAGGGCGGTCCAAGGGCTTGGAGGTTTTCCAGCCTCCTCTGAGCAGAGCTACTTGCCAGAAGAGCTTCAGTGTCCCCGCCCCCGGTGCATGCCTGTCACGGGCCACCCTGGAGTGCTGGGAAACCGGCT